GGCAGCCATGAAGGCGCCCGGGAGCAATTGGGGGGTCCGGTGCCTTGCTCAAGGGCACCTCGGCAGTGCCCAGGAGGTGAACTGGCACCTCTCCAACTTCCGTCCATGCTGGACTTGAACCGGCCACCCTCCGGTGCCCAAGCCAAGTCGCTATGGACTGAGCTACTGCCTCCCACAATTAAAACATCTGTGAAGTTTTGATCAAACACTGTAAACTGTTAATATAAAACACGCCCACAGGTAATTTAAAGTTCAGACCAGAAATATATTTGAACTAGTAATTAAAAAAGCTAGATAAAACCAAAATCAATTTGATTGTAATAGAAAATAGCTGAGCACAAGCCTGTTAGTGTTACGCTAAGCCCTTCAGCAAGCAATTCAATGACTTTGGGTTATTAAGGAAAAATTGCTTTATTAAAATCTGTCCAAATCTTGCCCTGATGGCAGATTTTACAGTTCATCCTTTCACCTAAAGCTCCAGCTTTATGGCAAACAAAGCAAGGGCAAATGTCTAATTATTAAGAGGATCTTGCTAAACTACTTATTACCTGAACTTTGATCCAACTAATTTGACTAATTGAGTAAAATGTCTGCTTTTGTAAACCAAAGGTTTGAGCTGACCGTTTGGGTCTTTAAAAAGGGAAAATAAAAATGCAACTTTAAGCATTCTGTGGGCACAAACTAATCTTCATCACTGTATCTAATCAAACATCTGTGTGTTGTCATAATTTGTGTGTACATTTTTGAGTAGTGACAAAACATAATTCTAAATTCAAATCAGTGCATCGTTGAGTCCAAGTGCAAGTTTGCACCAAATCTGAAGAAATTCCACAAGGCGTCACTGAGACATCGTATTCAAGAAAATGGGACTGGCGGCACTTTGGCTCTTAATAAACAGCGATTATCTAACGTGAAGTGCATGTGTAGATGTAAATGAAGCCAAACATACAAACCACTCCGACAGATGAAAATACAACAGACATCTCGAGCCATAGCCTCGCCTAGTCATCCTGAGGATGGCCAATAGGGTAGAGATTAGGGGCCAGCTGAAGCTTTTCAAAATGCCAACCTCATCTGGAGCAAGGGGTGTAAATATCACCCAAATGTCAGCAGGAGACCCCACAAGTCAAACTAAATTGGCTGCTACATGCACAAACACTCCCCTATGTCTGCCTCATATTTATGTGTGCATGTTTAAACACATACACTCTACACCCTGACACCTCTGATTGCAGTATAACATAGAGAAAGTGCATTAATCACAATATAAAGTATGAAAGAGGTAGACTCATACATATTGGATGCAATAACTCTAGTAACAACATTCGAAGAGTCAAACCCACACTAGTCCCCTTTTGTTGCATTTATACAGGGTCAGGTTGAGGTGGCAGCAGGAGAACCAAGGTTGTCCAGATGTCCTGCTCCCCGGCCACCTCCTCCAGCTCTTCCTGGGGGAGCCCGAGGCTTTCCAAGACCAGGTGGGATACATTATCCCTCCAGCACATTCTGGATCAGAGATAAGCAATTCTGTTCACTCTCTTTGGCTGCTATTAGACATTCTGCCCAGCACAGAACTGTGTGTAAGCAGACCATCTGTGTGTGTAAAGTGCAGAGTGTACGCACATTATGCACCCGCCAATGGCATATTACTACCTGACCAGGTTTTTATTGGTGAAAAGTTCAATCGCTTTCACCTGCCTCAAGATAGTATTCGGCTAAAAACACACAAACCGTGGGTTAGAGTCCTGCACTGGGTCCTGCAGTTAATGGGTAAAAATATATATATATTCATATAAATTCAGGGGTATGGGTAAACATGACCAAAGCGCAAGAGGGCAGTGGATGAGAGCTAGAGTTTGTTTTTCTGGATAAATCAGAAATTACAATTTTAACATCTAGATCAGCTTGAAATGAGGCCTAGTCAGCCACAAGGATACGTTTTATAATAAAAGTCCATGAAACCACCTTCAAGGACTTAAGTTCCGATCAGATAACTGTCACTACAACAAACTAACTAAAACATCAAAATGTGTTCAGTGGCTTTGCAAAAAGTGCCAGAAATGGTTAGCTTTTGAAGGTATCACATTGATGGCTGCTGGAGCACAGGTGCTGCCACAATTGACAGGTTTTTTTTTCTTTCAAGAACACAACTCAAACACCAAAAGTGAGGTTGGCAGGTTGTGTTGCAGGACATATGTTAACAGGTCTGGGCAGGTCCGGATTTGACTTGGAGATGATTGTAGGTGACGGGTCAAGTCCAGTGCAGAGCTTTGCAAAAATAGACCTGTGCAGGACTCTGCTGTATATAGTTTTATAGACTGGTTGATAAGAAAAGCTAAATAAATAAATCCAGCCCATTTACACGGATGCTCAAATGGGCACAAGTTCATATAAAGAATGTGGGCTAGTGAAACTAGCAAAGACACTTTTCATTGGCTGTAAGACAGACATTTGTTACATGGTTTCAATAAGGACGTTAGCAATCCTGGACACTAATATCATAAAGCTCAAATATAACCAGGTTCATTTAAATGTGGATTAAGAAAGAGGTGGGCTTCTAAATTGGAAGCACCATCATCTGAAATACGCAAAGAGTGCCTAATATGACATAAGATCAAATAGTGATGACTTGATGTTGCAGGCCCCCGAGCACAAAAACACAATGTTAACTTCACTTCGATATAGGAGGAGAAATAAAAATTTACCACGACATTACAAAACATTTGCAAACAAACATTAGGACCCTGTTGTCTCATATGCCGACACGTTGCCACACACACACACACCAGTGATTTCCTGTGCCGCAACTGCTTTTGTCATTAAAGCTGCCATGAGTTGCATGGCTGGCTGCAGGAGGTGTAGTGATCCATCAGCAGAGTGCCAGAGCTTTGCCATTAGAAAACCATCTGCAAGCAACAGCGCTCCATTGGCACTAGAAGTCTTGAGAGGGCAGGTTGGAGGGAGGGAGGAGAGGAGAGAGCCCTGTGTGCAAGGCAGTTTGGTGTGATTGATATGAACCATTACAGACAACATAGCAGAGGTAGGCACAGAGCTAGTCACCGTTTTATATTTGGTCATTTGTTCAGACAAAAGTTTGGCCAGGCCCACGGTTAGCACAGGCTGAACATCAACATGTGCGTCACCGAGAGAACGACAGCATGTTGGAGAGGGACAGAGAGAGACTGAGAGAACGGCCAAAACATTAGCGAAGGGACATAAACACACAGTCTCCCGTCTGCAAAAGGAAGCCAGTAAAACATGCATTAACACATGCATGCACACACACACAAACTACACAGTGCTTACTCTCTGAAACCAGTCATTTGCTTACAAAGAGCATCAATCTATCAAACAAAAGGTGAGATGACACATGACAATACAGCTTAGATTAGCAGGGACGTGAGGGTGAGCAAAACTGCATGTGACAGATGAAGAGCAATCTAGCTTGAGAGCAAACTAACTTAATCGACTGTGATTCCATATTGTTTAGTCGCCCATAACGTTTAGTGGAAGTAAACTAAGCCGAAATCTAAACGACCATCTGTTTTGCTCTGTGTTGATGTTTGTTGGCTTTTTTATTTTTTTAAACATTTTTATTTGTATTTGTTTAAAAAGTTGTTGATGTTGTAATTTATCAAAGTCATAATACAAGTGTTACCTAGAGATGTTCTGATACCGGTTCCAATAACTGGTCTTTGTGTATCAGCCGATACCGAGTGCAGAAAAATAACTTATATAACGTATTTTAACAGCTGTAGCTACAAATGGAAGTGATCATGGCTATCACTGTTGTATGGCCTGGCTCAGACTAAACCCTTTAAAGACCAATTACATACAGAAGATGGATACCATAGAACGTGGTTTACCATCTAGTTTGATAGTCATAACTGAAAAAGAACACAAATAAAATAATTTAAATCTAGGCATGCACAACAATTGACAGTTTCATCAGTGTAGGAGGCATTTCCGATGCAGGTATCGGTATCAGAACATCCTTTCTATAACCCAGATGTTTTATGTGCAGCTACAGCTCCATTGGCTGAGTGCTTGTGTTCCTTCTACAGTCATCACAGCTGTTAACCAGCCAAACTTATGTAATTTTAAGCGATAAACAAAGTGTTTGCCAGAAGGGAATTCTAATCCTATGCATTGAAATATTCACCACCATGTTAAAAAGTGTATGCTGAGGTCCATAGTGTGGAAATGGGAAACATCTCTGTTTAATGGATCCTAGAAGGCAATGTATCACTGGAGAGAGGCCAATTCAATTAAAGTGCTTCAGTATTAGATTTACACTACTCTACTGGGACTACTGCGCTGTATAGAAAACTACCATACAGAACATTAACAAAGACAACCTTTCAGAATACTCAAATTTAATGGGAAATAAAAGCACGGGTGGTAGTCAATCCCAATTCCTGGATGGTATCAGGAAAACATTTTTGAACCGAGAGTACAGTATATTACATCATGTTTGATTTATAGTATCCCACTAAAAATTTAAAAGTTTGAAATCGATGGATAGTCACTAAGAGGCTCTTTAATATGATTAGTTTACATTACTGGCATTGAGTCATGTCCCTGGCTTTATATGTCTTGTGGCCTGGCTTACCCTGTCGGACAGACCACTAAGACACTGGAGACCCTTTAACGCATAGTGTACATATAGTAAAATGAATGGAATCCAAATTAAGCCGGTAGAAAGAGCATGTTTTGTTGTTTGTGAGGTTGTTTTAATCTGATTACTTCAAATTGGAAAGCAGAAGACTGTCCAGGGATTACAGCTGCAGAACTCACTGAAATGCTTCTGGCCATAGTGGGAAACCCCCCTAAGCCATTACCATTTACTCATGCAGTAGGCAACAATGGAGAATAAAGACTTATTTCATGAGAGACTATAAACTGTGTTATTTGCCGTTCTGTGTTGCTGATCACATATTACACATTTGACTCTGATGAGGTTTTGTCTAGGTGTTGAGTGTTATCATTCAGTCCAGTACCTGAGAAGAGGCTGGAAGATCACAGTGATGTTCCTCGCTCCTGGCTTACACACAAACTTCATCTCTCCCCCTTCGATCAAGTTGTCATCAGCTCCACCTAGAACAGAGGAAACAGGACGTGACTCTATGTGTGTTGCTTGGGGGTTACTTTGCATCTGACATCAAGAGGACTCAGATCTGCTTTCAACTGGCCAACCCAGACTGCTAACGAGACACCACGTCCCGCTCTGTGGACGTCGCTGAACTCCTCACAGACACCTTGGGCTGTAATAAACACATCAACTCAGTCAGCATGGCTCGCCACCATTAAATCTAAATGCATCCAGCAAGCACAAAATCATCCAAACCCCCTGCATCGCTGCGTGGGTAAACTCCACAGCTAACAGGGTTGATCAAAAAATCATTGCCATGTACTGGAAAGAAAATGGGGGTGGGGGGGTTAGAGGGGGAGGGCTGCAGACATGGGAAGAGAAGGAGATCATAGGATCATAGGGGAAAGAGAGAACACCGGAGCTCATTACCTCCACTCAACCTGAAGTAATCAATATATTTGATGGAGAAATTGTGGCTCGTTGTCAATAAAGCCAACTCTGAAGCAGAAGAATTAGTGTGTGTGTGTGTGTGTGTGTCTAAAAGTTTTGTAGGAACACTATGCATGCACATGTTCAGCACAGGTTTATGGTGTTCACAAACGATGCGATAGGAGGACGAATGAGAATAGGAGAGGAGAAGAGGAGCAGCACAGTGGCGGTATTCCTGTCTTTATGCAGTTGAGACAATGTTATTCATTTAAATTTTTTGATTTAGGTTTATTGTTGAATGTAAGTAAGAATTCAACTCGGTGACTGGAAAAACCAGACAACGCAATAAATAACTGTCTAGATTCAAAACCGAGGGAGTCTGATACATAAAGAATTCAACAGTGTGTGTGTGTGTGTGTGTGTGTGTGTGTGTGTGTGTGTGTGTGTGTGTGTGTAGACCTTATTAAAAAGTTTGATTCCAAGAATTTGGGACTCTGAAAATAATACCCTCAAGTTGCTGTGCGCACTTTCCTGTTACATCGTGGTCAGCTGAAATTAGGTGTGATGTGATGTCAAGTGTAGAAAGTAAGCAGGTACATTGAACAGAAATCCGACAAGATGGTAATCCAAGCTCCTTTGATAGGGTTTCGAAGGTTAGTCAATGTGTGTGTGTGTTCTGAAAAGGCGAGATTACAGTTTGGCACAAAGCCTTTGCTCTGCTTTTCCTTGTGTTTCATTTCCAAGTCCAATATGGCCTTGCAAAAGCTAGTGTGATACAACACAAAGACACCCCCGCCATAGTGTGAGAGCCTGCTCAGCATTACCTGTGCAGCCTGCCTAGCCTTGCATTCAAATGCATATCAGCCCATTGTTCCCTGTGCTGGGCTCCATAACCCATTTCTAATGGAACAAGTTTTATTTGAAAAGTAGGGGAGACAACACTTGCCGTATTTTCATTAAAATGACGAGGGAGGCTTTCATCCCATCCCAAACTTTCAAATCAAGGGTTTTTGATTCCGATCTCTCGCAGTGAAACCCACGTACGCGTTGCTAAGTGGAGACAGAGATGAGGCCCAATTCACTCCAGATATCTCATTCTCCCTATCCATCCCTTAAACCCTCCGTTGGTGCCAATTCAATTAAGACTCAATTAAAGGCTCCTAAACGCCAACACACCCCTTTCTTTATCCTCCCTCGTGCTTTCTCTCTCTCTCTCTAATCGTAAATATGGTTAAACTTGTGTTTCCTCATCATCAACTTGCAAACACTCAAGTTCCCATGACGTCCAACTATACAAAACCCTGCACACACGCACGTACACTCAAAGACACACAGGCGAACAGCCATGTACGTCTTTGCAATGACAGTGACCAATTTAATTTCATGCTCTAAACATCTGCATCTGTGTCAAACAAAGGAGCGAGGAGGCGACCTCATTGATCCATGGGGTCTGGGACCAGCTGCCAACGGGTCGTAATACTGATGAATATTAAATAGCACAGCATTAATATGCATGCGATTCTTCAGAGTTGTCTAGACGTGACGGGGTGGCTCCGGTGTCAGGTCAGGATGCCACCAAACTGCTGCCAGTCCCCTCTCAACACCATGTTCAGAAGTGCAACTTTGTTTGTGTGTGTGTGT